TCTTAGATCATTTATCCAAAAAAAGGTGGGGCTCATGCCTTTCCTCTGTGGTGAGCCATCCTTTTGCCTCTAAACCAAGAAAGAACTTCCTACAGATTCATAAATTCTACCACCAAAAACACATAAACATTCCTGGCTGTGGCGCCCCTCTCTCTCTTGAGGGCATACACTCTATTTCTTTGAGTGTGTACTTTGAAATTTCTGCCAAATAAATTCCTAATGACTCTTTAAAAAATGATTATAAATGCATGAATGTGTGAAGGGGGAACACCATCTGGCACCAGGAAACAAGGACACCTCAAAAACTAATGGAGATACATCAGAAGGGCACAGAAGCCAGCTTGAAAGGGCTTCCGGTAATCAAATATCGGTCAATAAAACCATGCAAAAGAAGACGGCAATAATGAACTCTAGCAGAATGAACAAAGGAATCAGTCTATAGTGTTACCTGAAAGGGAAGGAGGTACAGAGAAAAAGCTCTTTCCAGAAGAATGTCAGCTAATAAATAAGCTAGAAAAATCACCATTTTACAATCACAAATGTTAACAAATGATACAGCAAAAGCATCAATAAATGCTAAAACTATTTGGCAATAGATTCCTGGAGAGCAGACTACTCACACACTCAAAGTACTGTCCCACCCATTATTTATTAATTACAATGGGAAAAGATACCTACACAATGGAGAAATATGAAAGACACCAGTGATGGAACACAGCCTCAGCAATAATGGAACAACTTGACCATCTGCACCTTTTGATATGATGCACTGATTTGGAAACAACAATTACATTGTAATTGTGCCAAAAACCTTCATGTGAACTAAGTATAAATTTTAGAAAATTGCACAAAACCACTGGCCTAAAAGGAAAAAAAAAAAAAATCAAGAAAAAAAGTAGGGTGACTGTTCTAATACAAAAAAGATCAACGAGATATACCCACTAACTCCACTAAGTGACAAGGGATTGTGGATCAAAAATTTAAAAACACACACACACACACACACACACACACACACACACACAAGCACAGTGGTGCATACCATAATCCCAGCACTCATGAGGCTGAGGCAGGATAAGGCTGAGGAGGAGGATCACTGTGAGTTTGAGGCCAGCCTGGGCCACATAGTGAGTTCAAGGCCAGCCTAAATTACATAGTGAGAGCCTGTCTGAGAAAACAAAGAGAAAAAATAAATTTAAAAAACAGCTAGCTAGGCATGGTGACACACAACTGTAATCACAGCACTCAGAAGGCTGAGGCAGGAGGATCACCATGAGTTTGAGGACATCTGAGCTACCCAGTGAGCTCGAGGCTAATCTGAACTACACAGTGAGAACCTGCCTCATTAAAAGAATTTTTATAAGCCTTTAAAGAAATTTTACTGGGACAGTAAAGTAAACTGGAATATAGACTATATATTACATAAAATTATGTATCGCTTTTAAGTTGCCTCAGTGGAATAAAGAAATTTGTGATAAGTAGAGGAGAATGTCTTTGTTCTTAGGAGAGATATGCTGAAAATGTAAGATGAAATGTTCTGATATTCACAACTTACTTTCAAATAATTCAGGAAGAAAAAATGAGTACTCAAAGACACCAGATAAATCAAGAAAGAGATACAGACTGACATAGAAAGATGAAGGTATTTAGGCGAAGGCTTTTAGGTGTTCACTGAGGGAAGATAAGTCTGGTTTTATAAATACTGATTTGTGTTGTCCAGGAACACTTATCTGGAAAAGACCAACCAGCAGGTGCAACCTACAGTCCGGAGTCCAAGGGAGGTCAGTACTGGGGATACCCTAGAATTTACCCAATGACATTATATGTGCAACTACATGCTACAGGGCAAGTGTAATGCAAAATACGGATTTGGTCTTCATTCCTTTCTCCTGGCATACAACTCCTAAATTCCTGGGAATCTCTGGTCACTTTGTAGCCCGAAGGTAGCTACTGAAATAAGTGAGTTGGGCTTTGCACCCCACTCCCCAATGTCTGAGAAGGAAAGAGGGGCTTAAGGTTAAATTGATCACCGATGGTCAGACATGTAATCAATCATGCCTATATGAAGCCACCATAAAAACCTAAAAGGACGGGGTTCATAGAGCTTTGGGACAGCTGCACACGTGGAGGATCCTGCATGGTGACTGCCCAGAGAGGGCCTGGGTGCTCCATGCTCCTTCTCCCACTACCTAACGATGTACACATCTTCATCTGTATCTTCTGCAACATCATTTATAATAAACAAGTAAACTTAAGTGTTTCCTTGAGTTCTGTAAATGGCTCTCGCAAATCTGGCATATTCAGAGAGGGTGTTGGGAACCCTAGTACATAGATAATGAAGTCAGAGCACAAGTGAAATAACCTGGGGCTTGTGATCGCCCCCTAGAGTAGGGCGGAAGAGCAGCCTTAGGGACTGAGGCCTCAAACTGTAGAATTTAGCACTATCTCCAGGTATGGGGTGTCTGAATTGAATTGAGCTAGAGGACTGCCAGCTGGTAGCCACTGAAGACTGCTTGCTTACTCGGGCAGGGGGTCCCCAGCCCATCTGGGGTCACAGAAGTGATCCATGCTCTAAGTGCATAGTGAGAGGTACTAAGTCTAAGTACAGACTCCGCAGAGAAAGGAGAAGCTAATAATCTGTATGCTTGATACACTGCATAATTTAGCAAAATATCTCAGATAAGGAAGATACATGTACTTTGAAATTCAATTAAAATCCAGAGATTAGCCAGGTACTGTTAGCAAAAAATATGGAAAACTAAACTTTTCGTCAATTTTTGTGAAAAGGTCTAACACCAAAACAGTTGCTATCATAAATTTACAAGCCAGTTGGTGGGGGGGGGGGTTTAATTTTCTTTCACTATATAGTTCAAGCCAGCCTCCACCTTGCTATGTAACCCAAGTTGACCTCACACCCACAGTCCTGCCTCAGCCTCCTCAGTGCTGGGATGATAGGTGTGCACCATCAGCCCAGCGACACGCCGAATTTTTTAGGTTTTTCCACCTGTATTCATGACATCAATTATCTTCAATATCTAAATCTATATTATCTACTCAAAAAACATAGTTCATAAAAAGTCCCTTAAAAATTTAAAGATAACAACCTAAAATAGAAATAACTACTTTGAAATATATTTTGAAGATGATTCACTTCCACCAATTTAGGCACAGGTGTACAGATGATTTTAATCATTAAACAGGATTACTGTGCAAATCAACTGCACCTGCATAATTATGTCTCTTTTTGTAAACATCTTTAATGAGTCCCACACTAGACCTAGATAAGATTTCTAAGTAAGATAAACATATCTTGAATTATAGATAAACGCTTTTGTGCCATCTATCTCTACAATTTAGAACAGAAATAACTGGCCTGTCAACTGTCCCTCCCCACACTCAACACAATAATGACGTCCTTCCCTCTGCTTACAGACCTCATGCGACCAGTAAAAAGAATATGCAAGTTTATTATAGCATGAATTGGGGCTACGAAGCGTCTGGACTAAGTTTCGTTTTTTAACCTACCCAAGTATATATTTAAATGAGTGCTACATCTCAAGAGACGAACCCTAATGAAATTATGTTTATTCCACTAGGCCTTTTCATCGTTTTTGGACTCATTTTCAGAATTTCCTTCATAGCCAATCTTATCACATTCACTTTTGTTATAGCTTGATTTTTTTACCCACTCTTATGATCCATCTTGTGCACCAAACTTGATTCATTTTGCCAGTGCTGAGAATACTGCAAAGAAGAGGCCACAGATCTGAGGCCAATTATGAAGGGAAGTAGAGAAAAATGTCTGAAAAAACTGCAGCATTATTTTCTGTAAGTGTAAAAACTTCCCGTAAAAGCAACTTTGAAGAGGAAAGATTAATAATTTCTTATCTTCAAAACCACATGACATACTTGTATCTCGAAGATGTAAGGTATGTCTGCTGTTTCATGAAAGATGATAGCCAGTGCATTCTAGTACTTTGAGTCATACATATATACATATATGCATATATACGGACACCAATGCCATCTCCCTAAAAAACTTACAGCTGGCTTCCAAGAATACTTGTGACAGAGTACCAGGACAAATGTAATCGGCGCGTACTTTTAGAAAAAGCTTCAGTTACAGACCCATCTCAGAGTCCCTTGTCTGTTTTTGAAATACGATTCTCTAAAGCAGTGGTGTGAATTTTAAATTCTGATAGAAAAAACTCTCAAAAGGTTCTCTGCCTTTGGTAAAATGAAAATAAGGAACTTTCCCCGTTGGTGGCTACTCCTCACCACACACACACACACACACACACACGCTCGTAGCTCTGCTTGTACAGGACTTGTACGTGTCCTGGCCACAGGACTCTTCTTGCTTCTCCCTGGGAAGTCAGGATGCCCATGCAGCACTGCCCTTCCACACCATTAGCACGAGGCTGCCACCCGCAGAACCACTGAATCCATCCAGCACTGCTCAGGGAGTGGGAGACTCTGCTGAAGTAAAGGCTGTCTGCTGTAGAACAGACAATGGAGCTGCTGGTAACAACTGCACTTTACCTGCACACACACAGTTGATTCTCTGGGAGGGAAATGCACGATGACTACTACAACGGGGCCACCAAGAGGAGGGGTATACATTTCAGGTCTGCCACTCGTGTAAACAACTGTGGCTTGGAAAGCATCACAAACAACAACATCTTATGAAGAGCAAATTTAACTGCACTTCCTGCTTCGTCACAAAAAGAGGACACACAGGGGCAAACCTACTGGAAATAAGATGGCCTTTCCAACTCTCGTAGGACAGCCTGTTCTCAGAGGTACATAATTGCCCAACTGGTAAAATTAAAATTATAAAACACAGCCATTTCACTTTGAACCTGTTCTAAATTAGTTTCTCCTTTCCCATTCCACCATTAAGTATGATAATTTGACTGGGGAAGAAACAGCTAATCTAGTATTGATTAGAGCTCACTCCACTGCTTTGATTACTACATACGTAAGTGAGAGGTACAAACCATCCATCGGTCATGAGAAAATGCAAAAGATAAATAGCCTTGGCTAGGACCGCTCATTTCCACCGCCACTGACTGGTCATCTCTCGTGAAGGACAAGAAGATACAGGCATGCTGCTTCTCTGGGTCACAGTTCAAAGGACTCCTGATACAGAACTTCTTGTTCCCACAGCCTGAAGCACTGAACTAGAAAAATGACATGGAGAAAAATATCTTAATTATTGAGCAAGCAGATCAAGTTCACTGTCAATCACAGAAGAGTCACTACATTCAATGATAGGTTTTAATGAGAAAACCTTTCCATCATAAGGATTAAAAAAAGAGAACAGAAGACACATTCCAAATTAGAAGTGATCAGGATCAGAAGTAGACAGTGAACTTTTGAACTTAATTAATTTTAATTAAAATTTAGAAAATTGGATCCCAGTTGGCCTGCAGTGGTACGAGAGCACTGAAGTCCCTTTAATACACAAAGCATCTCACATTAAGCATACTCCGGAACATATCTGCAGCAAAGTTTCTGCCAAAGTTTGAGAAACTTCTTAGAGATTATATTCACATTAACAATCTTGCCTAACAAGTAGTCTCTAGTTTTCAAAGATGGTATTTTCAAAACTAACCAAATCTTTGTCAGGTCTTTATATTTAGTTCTTGGACTCTGCTTTTAAAATTCAAGTTCAAATTTTACACTAAAGTAACACAAGAAAAAGTTACCCCAATTAATATCATTATTCCAAACAGCAGTAATAATTTAGTGAGGGGAGGAACAGGCAAAGATCTGTAATGATTTAACCCAGAGCTTCTTGTTATACATACAAGGGGACAGGGAGGGATTTAGCTCAGTGGTTCTGCCGCCTGCCTTACATACAAGGGGAAGTCTCAAAAACACATCAGCTCTACAATTTGGCAGAGCAGCAAGCAGACTTTGTTGGAATGGGCAGCCAAAGTACATTTCAGAAAAAAGCTAAACGTTAACTTTACATAACTAGCTGCCAGGGATTTGGCTTAGTGGTTCCACAGCCTGCCTTGCAAGCACAAGGGCCCAAGTTCGATCCCCAGTACCACAAAAGTTTTACATAACTAGATTTAATAAGAATGTAACGACGAATCATAGTAGGGTGAAGAGAACAAGCCACTAGGAATTAGGAACATAATTTTGTTCTCTGCTCTCTCCTTTACTCCACCACATTTTCCAAAGAACTTAACACTCTAGTGTCCCTTTACCTTCAAATATTCAAGAGGAAAACTAAACAAAAGAGACCCTAAGTTCTCTTCTAGCTCTAAAAAAATCCTAAAATCCTATGACTACAATAAAAATGCTAATCTAAAAAATGCTACAATCCTATGACTCTGAACAAAATTCCCTATCAGAATATAAACCTGGCACAGAGATACAGTAAAAGCTCTGAAAAGAACATATCCCTTTTATCAACTACATGGAATGACGAAAACATTGTCAACAGATTCCTAGTAGGAAGCTGAGGTACGAACTATTCCCCTAAAGCAGCTGTTAAATAAAAAGCATTGAGACTAAAGTGAAAGCTATTACAAATAAGAGATATAATTGTATGGTCAATAAGAGTACAACATTCATAATAAGCATAACTAAAATAATGTTCTATATATACTTTAAAATGCAGAAGAGAAGAAAGGTGAAGACTAATATTACATAGGAATAAAGTGCTTTACTTGTTCTACATGAGAACAACAACAACAAAAAAGGAGAGGAAAAAGAAAAGGAACTGTTTACTAAATATTAAGTGCAAGGCACAGCTAGAAAACATATTCATTATTTTAATTCTCATAGTGATACTAAAGCAAGATTTTATTGTGTCTCATAAGTGAAGAAACAGATTGAAAACTGAGACTTCTCTAAAGACCCACAGAAAGTGGACAAGTTAGTATTCAGGCCCAAGTGTGTTTGTCAAACTCTAACCACCTGTGTCAACACTGTCAGAGCCACTTCTGAATCGAAGTCTAATTTATCACAATTTCCTTTGGTAAAATGCCTCTTCCTAATATTTCTAATATGTGCTACTCTTTCCAAGATGTTTTTCAATCATAATTTTTTTTAATCAGAGGCCCTAAATGGAATTCTAGCTGAAGACCTTGCAAGACATCTTCTGTTGTCCAACATACAGAACTCCTCACTAGTCTTTGACCTTTAAGAAATAAGATCTAAGGCTGGGGATTTAGGTCAGTGACACCACACCTGTCTCAGAAGCACAAGGACCTGAGTTCAATCCCCAGTGGAAGGAAGGAAGGAAGGAAGTAAAGGAGGGAGGAAAGGAGGAAGGGAGGAAGGAAGGAAGGAAGACAGGCAGGCTTAAGTTCCTTCTCCATGTTTGATGCTGAGCCATGAGGAAAGAAGCAAGGGAAAGACTTCCTGAAATTTGTTTCCAAATGAAAATATATCCACTGCTAATATACACTAGAGGTGAATATTATAGCCACATCTTGATGCACTTTACCATGCAGAGAACAACAATTTTTCCAAGAAAGCTATTATTTCAGATTGCATTTGGTAAAGCTATAAAAATGTGACTTACTGGTTTGGTTGAATGGGAGATTGGAGGTGAAGTTGACGAGGGGGCTGTTGTAGCTTTTGGTGTTGTAAAAGGAAGTACATTTGGTTGTGAAATTATCTGACTAGGAATCTTCACCCAGTAGATTTTATAATTCTTAACAACTGTGGCTCTGAAATGCAGACATAGTGAGATTAGACAAAACCTTAATTGTGTCTCATCATAATAAAATCTAACTGTTAAAGGAAAAAAGGTAGGAGAGATGAATTAGGAGCACACAACTTCTCTGAAACAAATCTCTAATGATTGTCTTCTATCCTATCACTATAAGAACTTTTATTGCTCTCTCCTTTTCTGGCTTTTATTATTTTCTCTCTTCTCTGGCTTTTCCGTTCTTTAGACATATTAATGGCAGCTGCAAGTATCAGATTCAGAGGCTACATTGCAGAGATTTCTTTTCCTGATGCATAAAGAACGTATTACTCATTTCGTAGTATGCTATTCACATTCTTCCAAAGGGATCATGTGGCAGGCAGCTACAGCAAATAGCTCAAAAGCAATTGCATAAGTTACTGTGAGCTCTCACTGGGTCGCAGTCCCTTTTTAACACTCCATCGAACACATAGGTACAAAGCTGTTGCTTGTACTGGGCAGCTGTGTACATAGTCAAAAACAGAGACATGTCAGGCAGGATAGCAACAATTCCTTCAAATATATGTCCATAATACCACTCAGGAATCACTATACGGCTTTATGACCTTCCATTTCTCCTGCACAGAGGAAGAAGGAAGAAGCGCTACTTTAATTCTTCTGAGTTTCATATTTCTCAGAGGCAGGCTGGTTATGTTTCTAACAATCTAATCTGCAAGTTGTAACAATTCAAAAAAATCATCCAAACTTCAGAACTATATTTGATTCATATTTTCATACTGAAAGGAGCCACTATTTTAAAAAGTATTGCTCCATATACCACATAGTATTAACTGATGGCTTTATGTGTTTTACGGTAAGGTAATACTTCACAAGTGACTATTAAGTCCCTCTTAGGTACCAAGCTCTGGGCGAGGTGCTGGCTATGTCCTGTGGTGGAACAAGCCAACAAAAATGCAAAACAAACTCTTACATCAGTAAGCTGGTGTCATTATTAGGCCAAAAGTCTCCTAGACAGAAGAAACTCCAATAGCATGCAGAATTCCACAAACCACTGTAGCCACAATTATATTAGTTACAGAGATGTAAAGCCTTCTACTCACAGAAACCGTATGTGATTTGGGGCACTGCTTGGAGCCTTCCAATAGACTTTAATTTCTGTTTTGTTGGATGAACTTGTGTGACTCACAGCTGATCCCTGAAATAAAATGAAAAAGAACTACCATTCGTGCAATCAACAACTCAGCAAAGCTGGAACTACTATCATTTTGCAAAGTAAGACATGGTTTCATGGCCATGCATTCTGATAAAAACTATTTTGCCTAGCACAAGAACTCACATACTCAATAAATACACGTGGGTTGGGTGACAAAATACCAGCAGTTAACTCTGAATAAACTGGAAACATCAGAAATTTAAGAACCGAAGGGAGTCATGAATACTGAGTGTGTTAATATTAATAGAACCAGGTCATTATTTCATTTACACCATAAATTTATATTTCTTCCATTAATAGACACAAATAAAATGCAGACACAGCTCCTCAAAAGAAAAACTTCCTGCTTCCAAATATGCAGCATGATATTTTAGTAAGTCCTTTCTTTTGAGCAATTTCTTTTACCTGGTAAACTCCTACACATTCTTCAAAGCCCAGATTAGAGATCATGTCCAAGAAGCTGTCTTAGTTTCCTCCATTCTGTGGGTGGCTCCTTCTACTGCTCTCCCTATGTAGCCTGTGTACACACTACCCTACTGTACTCTTCTACTTGTGTCCTGTGACCACATGTCTACTTTTGTATCATACTTCCTACGTCCATGTGTCACACTGATGTGTAAGGCTATGAGTTCTTCAAAGAAAAAGAGTAAGTCTTGTTTGTCACCATATCCCTTGCTCCTCATAAATTATACGTTTATTAAATGAATAAATGACTGAAATTAGGCCTCTGTCCCACTGTAGAACTCTATTTTCAATATTGAAATTCTTCAAAAATCAATATAAGGGTTAATCTGATCTGAAATATCACAAACTATAAACTCTTCAGGCCTATACCCTACCTTCCCTAGAATGGTGATGTGAAAACACAAATTTCACATAAATTAAAGGAAAAGTACGATCACTGTGAATCTGTATAAATGTCATGTCTGGGTAATGTCACTGTAACAACCACCACATTTCACTTCTCGTAGTGAAAAGGCCCCAAGGAAGTTGACAGAAGTTAATCACAAGCTAAACACAAACCTGTATATCATCACAAGTCAGAAGTTGTGACACCTCATGGTCAATCAACATGAAAGAGCCAACGGGAGGGCCATCCAAATCTTCAGCATTGCGAGCTTCTACAAGAAAGCCTTTAAAAGGTTGTCCTGATAAAGTAACTACGAAACGGATAAAAAGACAGGTTAACAGATTTAGGAATACCCCACAAAGACAGAAGGCACATCATAGTTAGAAACAAGTAGATGTGTGCAAAATGACTCTTGGAAAGAAAAGAGTAGAAATCATTCATAGACAAAGAATGTCTAAATTGTGCTCCATAGAACATTCGGTCTAGGAGACGCTAATGCCGAGCCCCAAGAGGGAAAAACACAGGTGACAGCCAATGGGCATTTGTGGGGCTGAATTAGCCTCAAAAATGCTAGATGAAAGTGAATACTTGTTTATTACAAATCTCCTAGTGTCTTTAATATTCTACTGTGCAGTGTGAAATTCTAGGAGATACATTATGTATAACATACAGAGTGTTCTAAACCTCTTTCTCCATATACCTTTTTGTTAAAGAACACTTATTAACGTCTCGTATTTCTAGAACTATAGAAAAATAGAGTTTGCAAACTGATGTTACAGGTACTTTTCCTCTTTTCGGTAGTACTACAGATCAAACCCAAGGATGTTCTACTACTGAGCTAAAACCCCAGGCCACTTTTCACTTATTTTGAAACAGGTTTTTGTTAAATTGTCCAGGCAGGAGTTGAACTTGAGATCTTCCGGCCTTAGTGTCCCAAAACACTAGGATTACAGGCATGTGCCACTGCACCAGCTTGTAATAAACATTTTTAACAGTTTGCCTACATTTTGCCAATAGAATCAAGGAAACACTATTTCAGGAAAGACAAGGGTTAATTATATTTTAAACAAGACAAAAGAAATTTATTTTCTCCTTCAAAGATAATAGTACTATTACTATATATTAAATAATGACAAAAAAATCCTAAAACCCATTCTGAATAGGGAATAGATACACTACATCAGTAATATGGTCATCTGTAGTAAACCAAAAAATGAGAAATATAAGATTATGGTATCTTACAAAAACAAATAAACAGATTAAAATGAAATAATCCAGTAATAAAAATGCAATAAACAGTAAAAGTGTGGAACTCAAACTGGAAATAATTATCCCCAGCACAGTACCTTCAATTTGATCTCCAGGTCTGAACGTCGTCTGACTCAGGGCCATGTGGTGAGTTGGCTCAGGCCGTGGGCTATGACCATGTTTAGGAATCATTCGATGGCATGACTGTGTTACTTTTCCATTGGGGTAACTGGCCACCGAACTAACGTGCAACAGGAACACGAAGGCACCAAGGGTAAATCCTGGAACTGCCATCTCAAAAAGAAGATTAAAAGTGCATCATCCTCAGATCTAAAACAAAATTAAAATATAGATTAAAATAACAAATACAGATTAAAATAAAACAGCTTTCATAACACCAAGTAGTTCTAGGTAACCACTTGCTTTCAATGCTCAGCTATCCATAGTCTCAAAACATAAAATAAAAAGATCATGGTAGGTGAAGTCTGACCTGGATTTAAATCTCAGCTCTGCCAAGGACCAGCTCTGAGACTTTGGACAAATCACTTAAGTTTCCACTTCCTTACCTGAAAAACAAGGAAAGGAAGGAAACTAAGTCTGTCCTTTCAAAGTTATTTTAATGAAACAAAGATACAGCCCCAGAGTCTGACAAGAAAGATAATAAAAGATAACTTTAATTAGTATGTTAGGGAAATAATAAACTATCCAATATAAACAGTTTGACAGGGATGTGTTACAAGGTGGTACTGAGTGGAAGGTCTTCGGACACCAGGCCACAGTCCCGTTCCCTCCAGGTCCCATTCTCAGGCCTCAGACCTGACCTGGAGCTGCATCCTCACTCCCTCCCCTCAGTTCTTAGGCCTTCGAACTCAGATTGCTTTATACCACCAGCTTTCCTGCTTCTCCAGCTTGGAGACAGCAAATTGTGGGACTTCTCAGCTTCCGTAATCACACGAAGCAATTCTCATAAGAAATACATACATAAATCCTATTTGGTGCTGGTAATCTAAAGAACCCTGACTGATATAGTCTGTCACTTTCTTTTTCTCTTCTTACCTTTTTTAGTTAACATATATTAATTGTGCATACCCATAGTTCCATATATGCCCACAGTGTACGTTCATCATATTTATCCACCCTTCTTCCTCACTACCCACCTCACTTCCCCTGATGGCACCTGTCACAGTCCCTAGCAGTCACCATTCAACTTCAGGTGGCCTCCTTTTTTTTTTTTTTTATTTTCCAAATATGAGAGAACATGCAATACTTGTCATTCTTGTTGAGCTTATTTCATTTTTATGTGAAGCCTTCCAGTTCCATCCATCCCACAATAAATGACAGGATTTCACTCTCCTTTATGACTGAATAATACTCTGTTTTGTTTATATACAGCACCGTACTTATTCATTCATCAGCTGACAGGCACCTCTATGGAAGCCACTACCTTAGCTATTGTGAATAGTGTCACAATAAACATGGACACGCAAGTATGTCTTCTGTATGATGACATCATTTCCTTTGGATATACAGCCAGGAGTGGAATAACTGAATCAAGTTCTATTTTTTTTAGTTTTTTGAAAAATATCCAAACTGCTTTCTTCAGCAGCTATACTAATGTATATACCCACCAACCAAGTATGAGTATTTTTCTCCACATGCTCACCAGCATTTGTGGTTTTGTTTTATTGTTGTTTTTGTGTTTTTAATAGACATTTTAACTGGAATAAGATGGTGTACACTATAATTTTGATTTACATTCCCCTATGGCTAATGATATTATCAAACACTTTTCATATACTTATTGGCTATTTGTACTTCTTTTGTGAAGTGTCTATTTAGATCATTCACCCCCTTAACTGATTTACTTCAGTTTTCATTATTGCTGAGTTCTTTATATATTCTGGATATTAACACTGTCTCATTAATCAATACACTATCAATACGGATCAAAAGATAGCAAAAGTAGCTATATTAATTCCAACAGAGCAGACTTCAAACTAGGGAAAGTTATCAGGGAAAAACAGAACTTTACATAATAATGAGATCAATTCTCCCAAATGACATAATAATCTGGAATGTGTAGGTACTTAACAACATGGCATAAAAATATATTAGACAAAATCTAGTAGATATACAAGTAAAAAGAAATGATCCATTATTACAGTCAGAGGTTTCAACATCTCTATTACAGTAGGAGACTTCAGCACTCTTCTGTCAGAAATGGACAAATACAGCAAGCAGAAAATCAGTAAGGATGAAGATGAGTTATTTTTCATTTTGTTTTGAGACAGGGTCTCACTATGCAGTTCAGTTTGCCCTTGAACTCATTGTGTAGTCCAGGCTCGCTGGTCTCAAACTCACCACAATGCTCCTGTCTCAGCCTCCTTAGTGCTGGGATTACAGGCATGCAACACTATGCCCAGCAGATCAAAGATGACTTCAACAACATCATCACTCAACAGAACATAATGGACATAGATTATTTTATTCAATAACCTGAGGAATACATATTCTTCTCAAACTCACATGGAATAGTCACCAAGATAACCCATATTCTCTGCCATAAAATGAGCCTTAGCAACTTTTCTTTTTTTTTTTTGGACTGGGAATCGAACTTGGGACCTTGCACTTGCAAGGTAGGTGGAGGAACCACTGAGCTAAATCCCCAGCCCAATAATTTTTTTAAAAAAATAGAAATCAACAACATCTGCTCTTAGACCAAAATGTAATTAATACTGGAAACCTGTAACAAAAAAGTGTCTGGGAAATCCTAAAATACTTGACGATTAAACAACACACTTCTAAATAACACACAAGTCATAGAAGAATTCTCAAGCAAAATGAAAAGCATTCTGACAGAAATAAAGATGAAAGTATGACTTATTATAATTTTGGGGCTGCAGCAAAAGCAGAACTCCACTGTTATGTAAACAGACTTCATACCCAACTATAGCTGAACTACAGGAATTCCTGCTAAACCAAAACTTATGCTGAGGGATACACACATTAACAAGCTTTGCACCTTGTATCAGGAGCACCAAGTAGACAGTTTAGGACTGACAGTATTATATACCTCTATCTTATCAAACATCGGAGCTAGACAGCAGGTAAAATCCTTTTCATTCAAAGGTGAGGGAAAAAAAGGGAACCTATCATGAGCTTCTTTTTTTTTTATTAATTTTATGGGTACATTTTAGGTATACAATATAATGACATTCATCATTGAAAATTTGTACCAAGAGATTCTTTAAAGAAAACATTATGCCATAAAAGAAGTACAATGTTTCTCTGTAGACCCAAAGGAAAAGGTAACTTTGAAAACGGTTGGTTACTAGAAGAAACAAAATATTTAAGAAAATGATTACTAAAAAGCAGGGCAGTGGGAGAATTTTCCATTAAAGTCTAGTTTCCAAGCCCTTTTCTTGGGCAGACTTGCTGTAAGAAATGGGTGCACCCAGGAAGATCATGGTTATAGTTCAATCAAACTATGTGACCTTGGCCAAATTATTATAAAGACTAAATGCAACGATGTGCCACTCATCTGAAGAATGTTATACTGCAAAGAATTAGTTCAGCTTAGCAAATACGTATTTGGCACTGACTTCCTGTAAGGTCAAAGTGGAAACTAAGTCTTGATGTACCAAACATCTGAATAACATGAACCAAGACGTCTGATTTCTCTAAGACTCAGTTTCATCACTTGAAAAACCTAACAAGTAAGTTAGAAGAAATTCAAGGACACCTTCAACTCTAAAACCCTTTGATTTTAGAAAAGCTAATTGGAAAAGCATATTGGGAATAATTTGAAGATGAAACATGAAACCGGAAGGGAATGTGACTAAGATAACACCTGTCATTCCCTAAGCAAATACAACAAACAAGGTCAGCAAAGGAAGCAACATCAACCTCTTTATCCTTTGCCAAATACTGACTGCTCAAGACAAAGTTGTACTTTCTTTACAAGAGCTAATGTTAGTTTTCTGGTGAATGGTCTAAGGAACAACTTTTTAAATTCTCTAGCCAATCTACATCAACAAGTTAACATAAATATGATAGGAAGGCAAACAGGAGTTATTCATGGAAACATGTAGGCTAAAATTATGGAGTGTTAATAATAAGTTATTATACTATGAGGTTATATTTTAAGCATAGGAAAAACTCCAATTATGTATCATTTTTTTAAATTGTAACTATTCTCATTCTGACATGCATATTATAGAGAAGATAAAATTAAAGGAACCATAGCTTATATTTTGTCAGCTCAGTATGAAGACAGATCCATAGTTTAAAAGATTAAATAAGATCACCTTGATTCTCTAACTGAAATATTCCCAAAGCTAATGAGATGTTAGTTTTATAGTTTTCTTTTTGGTCTGAAAGACAGGCACTTAGCAAAAGGGTATAATGACTGCTTACACTATATGTATCTCACATAAAGATCAGGCCTCAAAACAAGTGCATTATTGTTATGTAAATATGAATTTCTTGTTCTTAGATGAAAATGTAATTATTACTGTGATCCTGGGCCACAGAAGTAAGAGATACTAATAAGAAAAATATATTTATTACAACAAAGTGAAACTCAAATAAAATGAAATTGAAAAATATTTAGATGTGAGAGTCATTAGATAACGGAGTATGTGTTAAACAAAATTTCTCAACCTTTTTAATTAATTGGGCATTAACTGGCTTTTCATTGTATGACACCAAGAACATTTAAGAATAAGAAAAAATGGAAGGAACATTTATGTTAAAACCATGTCAGAGGCCCGGGAATTAGTTCAGTGGCATCGCGCCTGAGTTCCATCCCTAGCACCGCCAAAAAAAAAAAAAAAAAAGTCAGAGCTGAGTTTAATTCTCAGGGCAAAAGAAAGGTCAGATAATTAAACTAGCAACTGACTAATCCAGCCCAATTATATTACATCAAGTTGCAGTTCTTGTTACCCACAAAAAGAATTCGAAAGTTAACAGGCAGGTACACACACACTATGGGAACTCAGCCCAGTAACATGCACTTTGTCTCACCCAAGCTGCAAGTGTAGGCATGTACTAAGAGTTGTAACTGATGCGCTGGCATGAGGCAATGAAATCTTATTATTTATGAAGAATGAACTACGAAACAACCAAAATAGTTCACTATCAAGTATCTAAATAATTTGGTAAAGGATTTATTTTGTTTTATTGGGGTTTTTTGTTTTTGTTTTTAGGGGCTTTTTGCTATATATAGCAAAATTTTTATACCACAGCCAAAATTCAAGTTTTACATTATAACCCAATAAACATTTCAAAAGATCACATTACAAATCCATGTATTTTCTGTCCCTTGCTTTTTTGTTTGTTTATTTTATGCAGGTTATATCCTACTAAATTGTTATTTCAAAACCTACCAAAAGATCTTAACCAGCAGTCTGATAACCATTTTTGGCATATGTAGACTGTTAAATTTAACCCTTGAATTAAGTTCTAAATTAGAAGCAACAAAGATTTCAGTTTAAAAAAGTAAAGTTTCCATCACTTCTCAGCCTTTTGGCTAATATCAAGTGTAAAAAAGTGAAGTTTCCAGAGAATGAACAATCTATACAACACAGAGGATTTTTGAAGATAGGAGCTGGATATATCCAATGTAAATGCCTTATTCTCTTCTATTTGTGAGCTAAAGCAAAAACTATAAATAATGCCAATAAGTTATCATTCTCACAGTGATCTTAGTGAAAGATTTTTTTTTATTAACTACAGTAATATCTTGAATCTCAAGTAACTTGTTCTGCGAGTGTTCCACAAGACAAGCAAAGATTTCTAATAAATTTTAATGTGGTGATCATTTTAATTGTGGGTGATCATCTCCCAACAGCAAGAAGTTATGGAAGAATTTCATCTGCAGAGGAGGAGAAGAAAAAGGCAGAGGAATCCCTCACTTCAAATGAGATTAGGGAGATGTATAAAATGTGGGAAACAATGCAAAATTTTGTAAAAAAGCAACACCAAAATAAGACTATAGCAGTGTGAGTAATGAATATATACATACATATTTTGGTACTGGGGATCGAACTCAGGACCTTGCACCTGCAAGGCAAGTGGCAACACCACTGAGCTAAACCTCTGGCCCCCAGTAATGAATATATTTAACAACAATGCAAAGTCACATTTCCATGTAATCCTCAAAAGGAGGCAAAAGTGTCATTGGATAGGTTCCTTGTTAAAAATGCACACACACACACACACACACACACACACACACACACACACACACACACACACACACACACACACACACACACGACACAAAGATTCCATTGAGCCAATAGTTAGCAGTGATTCCATTAGTGTAGTGAAAGTCATCCTACACAATAACCCTCCTCTCTCATCTCCCTCACATGAGCCATGAAGGTCTTCAAAGGCAAATGCAGGTTAATTTGTTTATCTTTCTTTATATTTTGTTGTTTCATCACTTGTATTATATTACAATATTGTAACCATTTTTATATGAACATTTTTGGGTTGTGGAACACGTCATCGGAGTTTCCATTATTTATGTGGAAATTCACTTTGATATTCAAGTATTTTGGATTACAAGCATGTTTCCATAATGTATTATGCTAGCAAACCAAGGTTTTACTGTACATTTAAGCTGTCATTCTTAAAGCACTTGAAGGCTCCTTTCAAGATTTCTATCAGCTACACTCTACAAACAATGATCAAGGTAGACAACTACTTCTTACTGAATATTATTTTCATTTATTTTATTACAAGAATTACAATGGCATTAATTTATGTTGATTAAGTACAAAGTATTGCAATTAATTTATGAGATAAATGTGCTTTTATATCTAGGCCTTTTTGTTGTTGTTGTTGTTGTTTTGTCCTAGGAACAAAACTACCATTTACAATGTTGCTTCTGTTAGAAAATGGAGTTGAAGTTCCAAGCTGCATTAGAAACTAATTTGTAGACAAGGCATATTTGTAAAATCAGCATTTTATCCAAGACCTGGGGCATACCTGGTAGGCTATGCACTGTGATGAAAAATCTAGAGGGACTGGAAACAGCAGTAGAAACAAGTCTTCACCTGTTGAGTAGCAGAGAGAAGTGGAAAGAGTTTTAGAAAATTAGCCAGACATGGTGGGTGTACAGACCTACAATCCTAGCTATTCAGAGGGGGAGGTAGAAAGATTAAAAATTCCAGCCCAGCCTGGGCAATTTAGACCCTAACTCAAATTTTTAAAAATTAGTAAAAGACTGGGGACATTGCTCAGTGGTAGAACAGCTCTAGGTTCAATCCCAGTACCGTGTAAAACTAAGTTGTAGGTAGAACTATAGAAGGATAAAGAGATTCATAAAGTCAGAAAAGCTAAGACTAAGAACAAAATATGCATTTAAGGCCGTAACATTTTTATGACAATGAGAAAAAAAGGGTTTACAGTTTTAACCTACAAAGGAAGGAAAGGGTACAGAGAGAAAGAGGAAAAGAAACAAACATTTGGTGACAATCTAGCAGTTAGATAACACATCTGATATAATCCTGTCAGTAGCAAGATATTATCTTCTTGTTAGAGATGGGGAAGCTGAGGCTAGTGAATGTATCATAAATCATATATACCATTAGGTTTAGAACCTAAAACTAACTTCAACAACCATTTACTTTTTACTCAACCACACTGTTTCAGACTTAAAAGAAGACTATGCAAAGTAAACAGGTGCAAGGAGAATACAAATTTCACAAGGCACATTGTGAGGGTGGGCATATCATGACAAGTGTTGAAATCTAAATAGTCCTAATTCAGAAAGTTGACTCTATTTCATGAGAGTATGAGTAGCAATATAGATATTTCTTTTAAAGCTCCAGGAAGAATGGATGTAAAAATAGATACTCTAGTACAATGCCTTTTTAAAAAGTCAATAAAATGGTCATTGACAATATTTGTTATCTCTATTAACTTTCCGTAGCACTAGTATGTGCTAATTTCTTAACACTATCATGGTTAGACAACTGGGATTTCATACATCTCTTTCATCTGTATTTAATTTGTTCAAACCTTCTAAAATAATTTTGAGAATTTGCTCCCCTTCTTTCCAGTAACTTAACTTCACCTTGATAGAAAACTTCCACATGAAGAATTAAATTAACTTTGATAGGTGGATTGCAAATTACAGGAAAATTGAAAAATAGGTCAAGTATTTCTACTTGCTGAGATAAAAATGTTTCAGACTCTATCTTCACAGCAGGAAGCGCAGAGAAAATGATTTTTTTTACATTAAAAATTGGAGTTATGACATTTTCAGAAAAGGTCTTAAAAAATAAAGAGCATAAAAAATTGCACTTGACTACCAATTTGAGATGTCAGATCTAACGATGTAAGATGCTTGAAAAGACTTCTGGAAAAGACTTTAAGAGTTTGAGTGAAAGCAAGACAAAGGGAAGAGAAAGTAGAGAAAAACATTGGGGGGAAAAAAGCCATTGGAAATTCCATAATCTAATCCTGATTTCCCTAATTGCAGCTTCATCAACAAGTAATTTTATTCCATTTTCTTCATTTATGTTCTAGGAAAATCATGAAAGGAAAAATTTTATTACATGTTATCCATGTTTTATCTGATCATCCTATATGGCTCTCACAATAACCCTGTCCTCAAATCAAAGTTAGGGCTATTAAAAAAGCTGCTCTCTAAAGACATAAAACTCAGAGATGAAACCAGGCAAATACCATTAATCTACACTTCAATGATGTAAATGTTTACTGAATGCCTATTTCAGCTATACAGTAAGTTCTTTACATGTATAAACTCTTGGAAGAAACATGCAAAGATTTTTTATTGGTACGGAAATTGAAGCTCACAGAAAGATAGGTAGACAGAGAGACAGACATCCCAAGGTTACATAAAAACAAAATGGGAAAATAATATAGTGTTTCATTATGCCATATTTCCCCCAAAATAAGAACAGGTCTTATATGAATTTTTGCTCCAAAAGACACAATAGGGCTTATTTTCAGGGAATGTCTTATTTTTTCATGTACAAAACTCTACATTTACTCATTTATTCATATACAAAACATCATCACAACCCTCCACACCCCAAATTCCAGCCTGAATTTCTTGTGACTCCACCTCCTGTAGAACTACTGGTCCCAATATCTCACGTCCAGCAACAGAGCTCCCCTTAATGAGCACTTCTTCTCCATGCAGCCCGATCGTAGTGCATGGTTACAACACACGACACACTGAATTGTGAAGATTCACACTAGACACAAACACATCCATTCCATTATCCTGTGCACTCATTGTTTGTGCATTGTGCCTGTGCTTCGATTGGTCATCTGGCAATAAGTCTCAACTTCACCTGTTTACATGAAGCATTTACTTCTTGTCCAAAGGCCCCTGCTGGGACATTTATAAATACTTAAGTATAACATATTATCATTTAAGTATTCGTATCAATAATATTATTTATATTTAATTATATGTTAAAAGTATTATTTTATAATTCAATACCTCCATTGTGTGTCACAAGTGATGTCCTCAATGTGTCCATGTGACTGCTGATCTTACCTGGGGCTTATTTTGAGGGTATTTTCTGAGCATTCTGAAAAAATCATGCTAGGGCATATTTTCCACTTAGGTCTTCTTTTCGGGGAAATGCGGTAGTAGTTTACAGGTATGGAAACAAACACTAATAATAGTGCTAACAAGTATTAAGGACTAGGCTGGGGATTTGACTCAGTGGTTTCTGCCACCTGCCTCACAAGCGCAAGGATCCGAGTTTGATCCCCAGTACCAAAAAATTATTAAAGTCTTACGAGCTATCAGGCACCATGACAGGGACTTCGTATGCATTTGTCACAGTGATCCAAGGGGCTGTAGGGGGTGTTACTGTCTCCAATATATAAAATAATTAATCACTACACCTATGCACAGCTCAGATCAGTAAACGAGGTACGCGGAGGAAAGAGGACTCAGGATGAGCATGCCGCGAATGAGAACAAGAGAACCAGTGGTAGAAAGAAAAAGTGAAAATGGGCTTTGGGAGAGAGTGAAGGACAACTGAGTTAGAAACAAGTCCAACGTTAGAAACAGTCTTTGTGACAATATTAAGTGTGGTTCCATGAAGTCAGCCGTCCCCGGGACTCTTGCCCTCAGCTCGCCACTGCCCGCCTCCCTCACCCATTTCCCCGCAGGATCATCACATCACTTCCTCAGCCTTGATTACGGGTTCTAAGATGACAGTTTAGTATCTATCTTTCCATGTCCTCCACAATGCTTTGATTCAAATGTTTAACTCTGTATGCATTTGTGTTGGGTGACAACGCGCTCAACTTGTTTGAAATGGAATCCATGTTTCTTCTAGTCCAGTTCTCGCACCTGACTCCTACTCTGATAATATAGCCCGTCAATATGCTTCGAATCAGCAAGACTGGAAACCCCAAACTCTCAAGGTTTGATTCCAGACATCCTCTTAAACCCCAGCTTCCTCACAAGTCCCACAGATCCTCCTCCATCCTCCGGCGCTCCTGACCCTTTTGCGTCGCTCCTGCTTTGCGTCTGCCTCCTCTCCACATCTGTCTGTTGTTTCGCATTCTGTCCATGTCCAAACATAAAGCCCACCTCAACAGTCCGCCAGACTCATGAGACACTCTCAAGTCAGCCTGTTTCTATACCCCCGTCCGAACCATACGCTACACCGCAAGACCGTTTTCCTAAAGCACAATTCTCATCAGTCTCCCCTCTCCCCAAAACATTCAACAGCTTCTCAGGAATTACAAAGTTAAGGGGGAAACAGACTTCTCAGCTCTACTCAAATTTCAAGGATTTTTTTTTCCCCACTACCACTATAAGGACAAAGTACCATGTGCTATATTTAAAATAAGCTCCTTTTTTTTTTCTGCTCAGGTTTGGCCTTCTTTAGTCTGGTTTGGTGGCACAAGCCTGTAATCCCAGCACTCAGAAGGCTGAGGCAGGAGGATGGTGAGCTCCAGGACAACAAGACCCTGTCGCAAAAAAAAATGCAAAAAGCAAAACACTGGGACCTCCATAAAAAGTGCAAAATACTAGCAAGTAAGAAGGGATATGAAGAAATGAACTCTCACACACCACACAGTAAAGATAATAAATTGTTCCATTTTTTGGAGGATAGCTGACAGTATTCTACGAAGCTATATTTAATGTCTGACGGGAATTTAACTTCTTAAAATTTATCCTTCAAAAAAATCCATATAATTATGCAAGAATTATTTAATAGAAAAATTTAAAATACTTAAGTGGTTACAAAAATAAACTATGCTACATTTAAACTATAGAATATTGCGTATCCATTAAAAATAATTGAAAGAGTAGACTGACAAGGATAACAGCTAATAATTATCAATTGCTTTCTAGAAGTGAAGTTCATTTATAAGTGTTTTGCAAGTATTAAATTATTTCACAAAAATCCTATGAATCGGCATGTATTTAAGTGGAATCATGTTCATGCCACATTGAGAAATGAAAACAAGCAAACTGCTAAACGTAGTATGCCAAAATACATAAACAGGAAAAGCAAAAAAAAGGAAAGAAAAAATCTCCTATCCCATGCTACTAACCGTTCTCAACAGTGGTTACCCTTTTTTTAGTATGGGAAGTGGACTGGACTTCCTCTCTTTAATCCCTATTATAGCATATGATACATATTTCAAAGAATGTAGCACTTTATGTTGTTAAAATGTTACAAAGTACACACTACATAAAGGCTGCACAGAAATGCACTGAATTTATTTTAAGGTTGATTTTTTTTCTTTGTTCCATTTTCAAACATTCTATGTTACTTTTACTGTTTTTATTGTTTGGGGTTTGTTTGCTTGTTTGGGTACCGGGGGTGGAACTCGGAACCTTCCGGTTTGTGAGGCAGGCAGCGGCACCACTGAGCTAAATCCCCGGCTGTTTGGGTTTTAATAAACAAAATCTCTACCCTGCTTGCAAGATTCAATCAATATGCTATCGGAAACTAAGTCCTATGACAGAGTAAACTGTATGGACTTGGAAATCTCATAGACCTAAATTTTAAATTGGTCCACTTACCCAAGGTAATTTGGCAGACACCACCGTAGTGACCTTAGACAAATGACTTATCTTCACCGTGCTTTCTCACTTGTTAGAGACTATGCCACCAAAATCAGGAGCTTCCGTGAGGATTAAATAAAGCGACATATACGAAACAACTAACGCAGTGGTCGCCATAAATAAGATCTCCCATTAAAACTGCCTGCCTTAGCCATTCGTGGAGGCACATGCCTGTAAACCCAGCACTCGGGAGGCTGAGGCAGGAGGATCGCTGTGAGTTCGAGACCAGCCTGGACTACATAGTGAGTTCCAGGTCAGTTTCAACTACATAGTGAAAAAAAAAAAACTGCCTGCCTTCCTTGGAATATCGCATAAATCTATCAACAATTTAACTGCTCTCTTGGAAACTCAACAGGCTTTGATATTAGCTAATTTAGCTAATAAAAAAATTATTACATTTTTCTGCCCCAAGTGATATTTGTTTTATGGCAAACTTCTGAATGGCTACAAAGGGATCCTACTCATAAATATCCCTGCATTCTGACTAGCAGCTACTGCAAACTGTACTCCTACAAATTCGCTGAATTTCAAGAGAATCGGACACTAAGTAAACGGAGCCCATCCAAAGAATCAACACTGGCTAATTATAACTCGCCCAATGAACAAAACCTTTCTTCAGAAATTCTAGCTTTATTATCAGTAAGTCAACAGATCAAATTTAAGCTTCCTACCTCTGTATGGTGAGAGTACAATACCAACAATACCAGACGCTTCCTTTTTTTTTTTTTTTTTTTTTTTTTTTTTTAATCGAACTCAGGACCTTGCCCTTGAGAGGCAGGCGCGGCTCCACCGAACTAAATCCCCAGCAGTCTTCCCATTTTTTTAAATTCACACGGGGCAGGGGGGGAAAACAGCTAAATCTGTAAATATTCCAAATAACACATTTCCTAGTTGAAAATACCTCTTTGGCCTTAGACAGCATCATAAAATTTAAAAGTAAGGCTCTAAGTAACCTTCAAGTGAGTAACGAAGTCTAACACTAGGTTCGACATAAACAAAAGTTCTCATAATTTAAACGTTAAGAAAAAAAGAAAAATAATAATTTGGTGCATGAATAAATTCCAGACTCTTAAGGACCCCAGCTAAGTCTCGACTTCCATCCACCCTCTTCTGCGGACTCTGTTCGTTAGTCAAAGTCACCGGGCACATTATTAGCCCGGCAGCTCGCGAGCCTCCTGGCTCCACGCGCCCCAGGGCAGCCTGCGCCGGAGCCTCGCTCCTGCCCGTCCGACCGCGCCCCATCCGCACCCGCACCTGCCCGCGGCTCAGTGGCCTCGCTGCCTTCAATTTTTAAACGCTTTGCAAACAGCTTTGACCTAAAGAAAACCGAAAAGGTCACTTACCTTCAAGAGCAAGGCAGCCCAACTTCCGGTTTTGTTCCAACTTGTGTCACATTTCAGCGGTTGGGTGGAGCTAGTTTACTCGGTAACCAGAAGGGAACCTTTCCCGGGCTAAGCTGCAGAACTTGATTTGCAAGACCTGCGCAGAACTCTACTAGCTTCAGGACTCAGGTTCTGGAAATTAAGGGGCTGTTTTACAAAATAAAAAACTTCTTTGCTGACTGTTCATCGTTTTACTGAAGAAATTTATGTTTTTGTCTTTCACTACAAAATTATTTGAAAATACCTGTTATAAAAAATGCTAAGACTTACAAAGGGCACCTAATATTGCCAAGATAAGGTAGCCAAATGTAGCAAATTAATAGACTGCCTGGTTAAACTGTAATTCAATTTTTGTAGCATCACTATCTGGGATATACATATACTTTGAAAAAGATCAGGTGGGTTTTTTCATCGAAATTCAAATTTAACCTAAGAACTTTCAGCAGTCCTGTATTTTATCTAGCAACACTGCCTCTTCCACAAATTGGTTCAGTTAATTACAACAGTTTACAAGGGTCAGATTTCATGAGAGATATAATGCAAAAAGAACTCTTTTATTTTGTAAAATATAGCCTGAAACGTGTGGGCTTTTTTTTTTTTTTTTTTGAGACAAGGTCTTGAAGTTTAGCCCAGGCTGGCCTTCAACTCACTGTGTAGCCCAGGCTGGCCTGAAACTCATAGCAATCCTGCTTCAGCCTCCCCAGTGCTGGGATTACAGGTGTGCACCACCACAACCGACCTTCTGTTCATTTTTAAACCTTTCATCCTTAGGTTTTACAACATTCTTCTGCAAAAGAAAAATTTCAGGGTTAGGCAAAGACAATGTTTCTAAAAATATTAAACACTCCACTTTCAGCCTGTGACTAACGTTGCAAAGTGGAAACAGATTATGACACGTGCCCTCATCACTAACACTAGTAAATTTCCCAAATCCATTTTGAAAGAAGAGAAAAGAGGAGAATGAACACCCACCATCTCTCAAATTTTTCTCCTTGAGAATTTGTCACAATTCACAAAAGCTCCTCTCAAAAAGAGTTAACTGTAAAGATGACCCAGAGCTGGCTTTCCATTCTAAAACTGTTTGGAACTCAAATAGTTTAAAGGGAAGCCAGACAGATTTTTGGTCGAAGGCTCAGGCAGTGACAATTAGACCCTTTCTGAGAATAGTCCCTTTGGTCATTTTGCATGCCAAAATATAATAAAAATTCTATAAAACAAGTAGCTCTTAGGATAGTTTGTCATATTGTTACTTCCTAAAACACTTTTAGGAAGCGAAGTCATGGAAAGGGCTGAATGGAGAGGCCAGGTCTGTAAAGCATAGCTTTTCAGATCTAGCCTTTCCCCACACCCCCTGCCTCTTATCTCCCAGCAGTTTACTTCTCCCTGGGTCATTGCTGTCAGCTGCTTCTCAATGGTGAAAGAAGAAACTGAATTTATTAAAATGCTCACTAGGGCTTGGATACTAAGAACTCGGAGCTATCCTTCTGGATCCTACTCCTTTAGGCCTCTAAATCAGCAGTTCTCAAGCCTTATGAGGGGCTGGGGATTTTAGCTCTGTGATTCTGCCACCCGCTTCAAAAGTGCAAGGTCCTGAGTTCAATCCCTGATATATTTTTTTAAAAAAAAACAGTTTCTCAAACCTTTTGATTTGAGGAAACTGCAGATCCCAAAGAAATGTTATTGGGTGCTAGTTATTGGTACTTTTTATTAAAAAGTAAATCAGATGTATTTATTCATAAACTAATGTTTAAAGGACAATAGGTTCATTACATACAAACATTAACTTTTTACTATTATTTTTTACCTTAATGACTTTTTCAAAAGTAAAAGTTTAGTGAAGAGTGTTTTTTTTTTTTCTTTTGAGACAGGTGTTGCTATGTAGCCAGGCTGTCCTTGAACCCACAGGGATCCTCCTGGAATCACAAGTGTGTGTCCCCATGCCCAGTACTCATTTTTTTTTTTTTAAGCGAAGAGTATTGTCAAAGGACAAAATTACAATTTAGTTTGAAGATCTTATTTGGATTTGTCCTCAATTTTAGAATCAGGCAACACTTCATTCAATAAAATAGAATAAGTGTTCCAATATCAGAGCAAAAGAGGTTGACTTTATAGACAGAGAAGGGCTTAAAAGGCAGAAAATAAAAAGTGGATCACTTCGAAGTTACTTTCCTTATAAAAACCAGGTGAGGAGACAGAAAAACAGGAAAATAAATGATTAGCTAACCGTGTGTCAAGCGTAAAGGGCCAGCATGGACACAATCTTAGTTGAAGGTTAAATTCGCCCTCTTGAGAAAGCAGGAAAGGCCCGGAGTCATCAAAAGGACAGCGCATATTCAGGACAATGGAACAAACACCAAGTGTGAACATTCCAGGTAGAAGAGCTAATGATTCCCGTAAAGATTAACCATAGCCCTACACTTTGTCACAGAAATGACATTCCTACAGAGATTAACCACAGCTCTGTACTTTGTCACAGAAATGTCAGCCTCATCCTGTGCAAACTGTACATTCTTTTCCTTTCTTCTAACCGCCGCATTTCGCTTCTGTAATCTTGCTTGCTTCCGCCCCATCAACATATAAAGCCCTCTTGTACTCTGGGCTGGGGCCCTCTCCAAGTCATTGCTTGGAGGGGCCGTCTGGCCAGACTAATAAAGGTCTGCTTAACACCATTCTTGGGTGCGGCTGGTTCAGTTCCTCTGGGGTGTTGTCTTGCTGTCGCTGATTGTTAGTTCTTCGGAATGTTTGGTTAAGATCCCTGGTGGTCTTACAACAGGTTATTCCAGGTTGTCTTTTTGTGTATTGATTAAAGTAAAGAGAACTTCATTATCTTTCCAACTAGAAGCGGCCTGTTTAAGAAATGTGGCTGTCTCTAACTTTCCTTTCTCTGAAGGTCAGATATGTAAATTTAGTTTGGTGATGTAGAATTTTAGCATGAGTGACACCATTTTTTTTTTTAAAGTCTGGTCTATGCAGGAGCTTAATCCAAAACCATGAACAACATCCTCTTGTATCTTTTAGTTAACAATAGCATTGCTTAAATTTTTGCAAATGTCCTTAAAGACAGCTGGATTCTCATATGTGCTTCTGCATTCAAAGTGTAGTGTTGTCATATAAAACTTGTAAGACTTAAAAGTCTCACTTCCACTCCACAGAACGCAAACAGCCCAAAAGGCCTTTGCAATGTTGGGCCCTAAAGCCCAATGAGGCTCCGTGAGCGCTATCGAGGAACGAGAAACCCAGGAAGGAACACACCAGGCTAGATGGTAAAAGACCTTTATTAGTTTGGTCAGACGGCACTCTCAGAACCAAGTGGCTGGCTCAGAGAGGCCCCTAGCTCAGGGGCTGAGCTCCTCTTATAGGGTGTAAAAGAGGGGGTTAACATTTTGGGGCTCACAGACAGGGGACAAAGGTCTGCTGACTTGAGCTGGTGGTCAGCAGTCACATGTTCAACAGTCACATATTGATGAGTGACAGGTACCACCCATAGGATGTCTCAAAGGTCACCAAGACACTCCAGATGAGCAAACAGTTTGTCAATTAACTTGGAGCTCTATGTCTGGAGTCTCTAATTTACAAGTAGATTCAGATCCGGAATTCAAACAATACAAGAGTGATACACATTCTTAGGCCAGGGCTGGAACAAAGATCGGGGCTGTGGCTACAATGGGAGGGGTTCAGGACACTGTCTCCTAGGCCCTTTGCCATTTAGCAAGGGCTTGTAATTTAGGTCCCATAAAACTTAAGAAAGTCGCTGGAAAATCCCACTATATATTCATGAGAGAAGAGAATGAATAGGGCAAATAAAATACATCAAGTACAATAATTTTCATCTATTGAGTACCCATTTTAACTTAATCCAAGTTGCACACTGTCTCCGAGAAAAAGATTTTATCTTGAACATTCCATACCCAGCAGTGAATACTAAGGATGTGCATGTTCAGGAAACTGTCCAAGATCAGGAAGACAAAAGTACCAGACAGAATTCTAAGCCAGAACTATTCATTCAACTGAAACCCACTGTCAAGTTTGAATGAGATCTGTTAGACCAAACTTACAATCTCCACGGTTCTATTATAGTTAGCATTTCATAAATAACTACAGTCAAGCAGAATTACTCCAAATAATTAGACCTCACCTCAAATCAGGAAATCCCAAATCCACCATCTAAACTGGACGCCTTCTCACTTGACCTTCACTTGTGTCCATCTCAACGAGTCAAATTCCATCCTCTATGTCCACTGCCATCGTTCCAGTTTATATTCTCATCACTTCTCAACTAGACTGTAGTCATTGTCCAGTAAATTCCTCCAGTTTCTCGACAACTTAATCACCCCACATTCTCTGTTAATCTCTCTAAAGTATAACACACAGCGGCGCCTCAGTTCACAAACTTAATTTGTTCCACAAATTTGGAAAAGATGGCCATGTTTGCATTTGTGCAGGAAAAATGGTCACGGTGGTGTTTGTCACCAGATTTAGAGTCTGTAAACAAACACAAAATGTTGCCAAACACTTGTGAACCAAATTGTTTGCAAACAAAAGCATTTGCGTACTCAGGCACCACTGTAATTCTCTAGTTCAAAAAAATCTTTACTTACCTGCTATGTATTACTGAATGAATGAACGTCCAGATTCTGTAAAGAGATGGTGTCATGACTTATATCTAGATATCCCGTAAAAACCCATGTGCTCATAGGTGAGGCTCTGGGGAGGTGACTGGATCATGGGTGTGTGATACTGGCTCAGTACACTAACTGGATAGAACACACAGTTCTCATGGAGATAATGGACTTACTAAAGAGGAAAGCTTCACCCTGGGTATGACTAGTACCAGCCTATAGGCTTGTAACCTGGATGGAATAAAAAGGAAAAGAAGGAGGGCTTGCTTCCTCCTCCTTTCCCCGCCGTGGAGTATTTCTCACCTGCTGTGCCCCTCTACCAGGCTGCCATCCTTGGAGCCAGCGGACTATGAACTGACACCTCTACAAACTGTGAGCTAAAATGAACTTTTTCTCCTTTAACTTGTGAGCCTCGGGTATTTTGTCCT